TAGAGGGAGAGAGAGATAGAAACATCAACGATGAGAGAGAATCACTGATTGGCTGCCTCCTGCATGTCCCTCACTGGGGATTGAATCTGCAACCCGGATACATGCCCTTGACTGGAATTGAACCCGGGACCCTTCAGTCCACAGTCCGAAGCTCTATCCACTAAGCCAAACTGGTGCTGGCTTTTCTCTGCTTTTTTGAAGCCTTCATTCAGTTGCCTTATATTTTAGGACTAATGAGTTTTATGTGTTTGGATTAGTTATTTTTACGTTTGTCTTATACTTACATCTTAAGAATTGTTTATCCGAGTCCCTGGTCTCAGTGTTCTGAATTTGAGGAACAAGTTCATAACCACCATTCCTGTACCACTGATGATTTCCAAAATCATGATCAAATCCCCTCAGAGTTTTTCTATTTTTGACTGAAGATTATTAATATCATCCAATGTGTTTATAACTCTAAGCTGATTTCCTTCCTCATTGGCAAGTTTTTCTTCCAATGTCATGACCAGGCACACGCCTGGGCCATGATCCGTGTCAGAGCCAGATCATGCTTTTGGTGTTGAAAGTACCTGGCATTGATCGGCCTTTGGGGACAGGGCGTATGTTAGCCGAGGCCTTCAGTGCACGCTCCCTGTGTCAGTGGGGCTGTGCACATTTATGTGGAGGGAGAAGTTTGCGCGCTGCTCTGCCTGCTTCTGATTCCACAGTCTTTCTGAAGATGGAGGTGGCCACATGTGCCCACTCTCCCACCCCAGCTAATCAGCTACTCTTTGTTACCTTTGCTGAGGAAGGCTGTGGATCACAGCCTGTCTTTGAACAAGCATCTAAAGTAAGCAATTTCGTTGCTAGACTCGAGTATTTCGGAGGTGGCATGTGCTTGGAATTTTAATAAGTGGCTTTTGAATAGACCTCTGAGACCTACTAAGTTTGTAACCCCCAACCCCACAGTGCCTCAATGGGCAACATATTTTAGGTAGGTTTTTTTTTCTATCATTTATATTTAGCAACTATAATTTCAGCAGACTCATTTTGCATTTCCTTTCCTCCCACATCGAATGCAGCAAATTGCTGGCATTCCACAGGTGTACCTGGAAAACCTGGCATAGGATAGGGTGACTATATGCCGTTAAGTGTTACTTATTTAACCTTCAACCATTTTCAGGCTTAATTGAGCAAGACAAGAGCTTTCATTTGAAAAGTGGAAGGAGGATGGTATGGTTCGTGTTCTAAATGGACTGCTCGGACTTCCCCTAAACCATATTTGTTAACCCTGTACCCAGGCGATGGCAGGATGTTTATATCCCTGCTTTCATCCATGAATAAATGCTTTGAACAGTTGTTTGCTCTGTGCAGAGCATTGAGCAGAAATGCACGCGGAGTAGAGGACACATCCTCAGCCTGGAAGCTGATGAAGACATTCAGCTTGGAACAGTCGGAGGAGAGTGCAGGAAGGTGTATGTGTGAGCTCCGGAATGACAGGAGATGAATGTGGAGACAGAGGGAACCTTACCTGGGCCTAGAAAGGCCAGCGTTGGAGAGAAGAGCACGAGCAGAGGCACAGGGAAGAGCTCGTGCCCAGGAGAGGCCTCTGTGGCGGAGCTCAGGCTGAGGGTAGAGAGAAAGAGTGAAAAACAAGATCCACTCAGAAACAACAGTGAGGCCAGGCAGCCGATGATTCGGTAAAGACCATAGGGAGGTAGGTAGGTTCTTGAGCAGAAATGACAAGACGAAAGAGCGTATAAATGTCATCAGAGAGACTTGGAAACTTTTATATCAATGAGTGCATCGTCCCCCTGGAGTTTAGCCTGTGGAGCAGATGAGCATACCTGTCATGTTAGCCCTCTAACTGCAATAGTATGAAATGACATTTCAGGGTGATGCTGATGAAGATCCAGCATTGGAGGGAATGGGGTGGGACTGAGGATAAGGATGGAAAGCATTATAAATAAATAAGGGAATATTAAATCAACTAATTATTTGATCCAACAATTCTACGTGTAAGTATTTAGTGAAAAGAAATAAAAACATTCACAAAGGCTCTGGCTGGGTCGAGTCCTCTCTTCTTGGCACGTGGATGACTTCCTGCATCTTTATACTATCCTTCTTCTGTGTTCTAATCTCCTTTCTTATAAGGACACCAGCTCTGCTAGAGCAAGGCCACTGAGTGACCTTGCTTAAACTTAATTACCTCTTTCAAGACTCTCTCTCCAAATTCCATCGTATTCTGAGGTGCAGGACATGAACATATGAGTTTTCAGGGAACACAGTTCAGTCCATAACAAGGTCCCACTAGATATTTTATTATTTTTTTGCTCTAAATCAATATAATCACTTCAGAAAGATTGATGAATTGCTTATGTTTAAAAATATAACTGATTTGTTATATTTTGAGCCCTTTATTATATGCAGACTCAAGGGTTACGAAGTTAGATGTAGTGTGGTTTGTGCCCTCACGAATTTAGGTGGGAAAGTGTACAACTAGAACAGTGATAGCGAACCTTTTGAGCTCGGTGTGTCAGCATTTTGAAAAACCCTAACTTAACTCTGGTGCCGTGTCACATAAAGAAATTTTTTGATATTTGCAACCATAGTAAAACAAAGACTTACATTTTTGATATTTATTTTATATATTTAAATGCCATTTAACAAAGAAAAATCAACCAAAAAAATGAGTTCGCGTGTCACCTCTAACACGTGTGTCATAGGTTCGCCATCACTGAACTAGACCATGGCAGCGATGGTCAGGGAGGTAATGAACAGTTTGAAAACACTCACAAGAAGTATATTTAAAATCAAGTGTCCATGATCTCTTTCTGAGACCTGTGATAGGTTATAAAGAGACTCAATTGTATGTGCTCTTTGCTCCAGAGGCCAAGTTAAACCATGGACCTTTAGGGATGGCAGAGACCTGAGAGCTCCCTCCTGGCCCAGCTTCTCCCTTATGTCACAGCGGGTGAGATGGAAATACAGACCCATGAAGCAGCCTGCCCAGGGCCACCCAGCTGAGCAGAGCCAAGACCTGACTTATGCTGGAGTCAGAATCAGTCTTTCCCAGATGCTCCGCCACGTCCCGCCTCATAGCCTAGTTCTCAGGGGCCCGTGGGACGTCGTTTGTTTTTGGGTCTCTGTGGAACAAACCACTCAAAGGCCACCAGGCACACGCTTTTCTGGAAGTTAATTGCGTCTTGGTCCTAAAACAATATTCAGAGAGTTTTGGGAAGTAGCTTATTTTAAAATTGTTATCCAGCTTCAAAAATAAACACTAGCATCCAAAAGGAGAAAACTTAACTATAACATAATTTACTATAAAAAGAGTCCCAAATGCCTGCTCACCACCTGGGAGAGCTGAACATGTTCGCTCTGGAAGGCTCCCCTCTGTGCAGGAAGTCACTGTGATGATCATGCAGACTTCACGCAGTGTGAATGAGCCCATTTTATGACATTCTAGGAAAAGAAAAACTACAGGGATAGAACAGAGGGCAGTGGTCTCCAAGGGCTGAGGTGGAGGGAAGGGATTCAGAGGGACCCGAATAATTTACTATAAAAAGAGTCCCAAATGCCTGCTCACCACCTGGGAGAGCTGAACATGTTCGCTCTGGAAGGCTCCCCTCTGACCTTCTCTTCCGTGTCACCCGGAAACCACGCCGCTTTTTCCCCAAGTCACACATTGTTGATCTAGAAACTTTTCTCTCATTTTTTGAAGCCTTCATTCAGTTTGCCTTATATTTTAGGACTAATGAGTTTTATGTAAGCCAAACTGGTGCTGGCTTTTCTCTGCTTTTTTGAAGCCTTCATTCAGTTGCCTTATATTTTAGGACTAATGAGTTTTATGTGTTTGGATTAGTTATTTTTACGTTTGTCTTATACTTACATCTTAAGAATTGTTTATCCGAGTCCCTGGTCTCAGTGTTCTGAATTTGAGGAACAAGTTCATAACCACCATTCCTGTACCACTGATGATTTCCAAAATCATGATCAAATCCCCTCAGAGTTTTTCTATTTTTGACTGAAGATTATTAATATCATCCAATGTGTTTATAACTCTAAGCTGATTTCCTTCCTCATTGGCAAGTTTTTCTTCCAATGTCATGACCAGGCACACGCCTGCGCC